AAGAAAACATTAACATAATTTAATTATTCAAAAAAATATTTTTAAACAAATTTTTTTTGTTTATTTTATTCAAAATATTTTTAGAAAAAAATTCTCTTTTTTTTGTTCATGTTATTCAGAATTGTATCAGATAATAAAATGTTGTTATAAATTCAGTAAAATTAAAAATCATAACATTAATTTTTCAAATTGAAATTGATTAAAATCTGACAAAAAATTAATACGTTATTTCATTTTCATAACATATATCTATCTGGTAATTTTAGATCGTCCAATTATTTGTTTCTCTTATTATATATATAATATTATATTATTATATATATAATATATTATTATAATATAATCTATTTTGTGCGTGCGTGTGTGTATGTGTGTGTTATAATAAGGATTCATTCTTGTAGAATGTTTCATGATTAGTTTTTTCATTAAATTCGAAGAAAAAATATTGATTACATTGAATTTAGCGATTGAAAATTTTATTCTTGTATATTTGAATGAAACTAATAAAATAATATAAATGTAATAGTGCTATATAGCCATTTAAGTGCTATATAGCCATTTGAAGATATTTCTTTGCAATATTGCGTTCTGTAATAAAAAATAGTAAAAAAAAATACAAAAACAAGAATAGTAATTATACAGTATTGTAAGTACCATTAGTAATGATAGTAAAAAAATTTTCTGATAGTAAAAAAAAATATAAAAACAAGAATAGTAATTACACAGTATTATAAGTACCATTATATTATATAACACACAGTACGTATTACAAACTTGACATGTATAATATGAATTGACATATGACATATGACATATGACATATGACATATGTATTACTAATACAATCGTCAATTTTGCTTGTTAAGAGTAAATAATGTAGTAAAACAAAAATAAATCAATTTCTTTATCTATATGATTGTTAAAAATATTATTAGAATGATTTAGTTTAATATTAAGTAATCAGCTATAGATGATATATAAATGACAAATTTATACAGAAACTTAACATTTTTATTGAAAGAAGTCAAAGTCTTTCTAAAAATATACTTATCATTGAATTACAAAGCTAAATCCTTCTTATTTAAGAAAATTAATAAAAGATAAAAGAGATATTCAAAATATTTGAATTGAAGAACAAATTTTTAAATTATTTAAATAATCAAGAAAAATCTAAAACTTAATTAGTATGAAATAGATTACATAAAAAATTGAAAATTCTTCACAAATCTTTATAAAAAAGTTTATAAAAAAATCTTCATGTAGGTATATTCTTATTATAATATACTTATCTTATTTATATAAAAGCGCTTTTACAAATGTTAAACTAATATTAACCTTTTGTCAGTGATGCAAAAATGAAGGTATCATAACGTGAAAAATAATTTTCAAATTATATAATGAAATACTTATATAAGACTAATTAAATTTTTACAATTAATATTTATGAACGATAATTGCCTGTTATTACTCAATTACATCTATACATATTCATATTTGGAATTTAATTGATAAACAATTATAAACAATTTTATAAAAATAACGCT